TTGAGCTTTCTGTACTCAAAAATACTAGTCTAGTTAAAGGTTTGTACATTTTGTTTATCTTCTCAAAATACAGCTCTTAATTTTGTTGATCTTTTCTATTGTTTTCTGATCTCTGTTTCCTTCCTCTGCTAATTCGGGTTAGTTTGTTCTTTTTCCCCCAGTTCCTCTATGTAAAGTTAAGTTGTTTATCTGAGATCTTTCTTCTTCCTTAATGTAGGCATTTATCATTATAACCTTCCTCTTAGAATTGCTTCTGCTGCATTTCATATGTTTCTGTATGTTGTGTTTCCATCGTTGTTTGTTTCAAAATATTTTTTATTTAGTTTGTATTTTACTTTTTCCTCGGGCCACTGGCAGTTCAAGAGTGTACTGTTTAATTTTTATGTTTCTGTGAGTTTATCAGTTTTCCTCCTGTTAGTGACTTCTCTAGTTGCATAGTATTGTGGTCAGAAAAGACACCTGGTGTTTTTTCAAGATGTTTAAATTTACTAAGACTTGTTCATATATATATATACCATTTCCAGGCACTGAAAAACAGGCTGCTCAGGAGGGGTCCAGAGATGGGTCAGGTGAGCAGAAAATGAAAATGAGTGACAACTGGAGCCTCCACAAAGGAACGAGCGACCTAAGAAACAGTAAATAGGTGGATGAACTGAAAAGATCCTTTTTGTCATTTAAAGATTCCTGCTGCCCCAGCCAGTTTGGCTCAGTGGTTAGAGGGTCGGCCCCCAGATTGAAGGGTCTCAGGTTTGATTCTGGTCAAGGGCATGTACCTTGGTTGCAGGCAGCATCCCAGGCCTGGATTGGAGTGCATGGAGGTGGCAAGCAATTGATGTGTCTCTCTCACATTTATGTCTCTCTTTCTTTCCCTTTCTCTCTCCCTCTCTCTCTGAAAAGCAATGGAAAAAATATCTTCAGTGAAGGTTAAAAAAAAAACACCTTTAAAAATTCCTGCAAAAGGCAATTGACTCTTGAAAGCAAAATAAAACAATATATGGTTGTGTATATTTTATGTGAATGTATGTTGCACAGCAACAATAATGCAGAAGGTGGGAGGAGGAAGGAAGAATATAATGTTACAGAGACCTGACAGCATTTGTCACGGGATAGAATAGTCACTGAAGGGAGAACAGGAGAAGTTAAAGGTGAGTATTGGAAGTTGTGGAGCAGCCACTAAGAAAAGAAATGAGGTACAGCTAATAGAGCAACAGCTGAAATAAAATGGAATTTAAAAAATTCACCAAAAAAGCAGAAAAAAGAAAGGACAGATGGGACAAACAGAAACAAGTAGCAAGAGGATGGATTTAAACACAACCTATTACATCTAATCCTATTAGATATAAGTTGTCTAAATGCTCCAATTATAAGACAGTCCAGTTGGGTATAAAAGCAAGACCCAGCCGTATGCTGCCTAAAGGAAACCCCACTTTAGAAACAGGGACACAGACAGGTTAAAGGGGGAGAGCGCAAAGGATCCCCATATGGAAGGTGCTCCGCGCACAGGTCAGGCTCCTGGAACCTGCAGCGGCTGTATGAGGGTCAGATAAACGGGCTTCAGAAGGAAACCGCCTTCATACCCGGGTAAAGAAGGGCCATTCACATGAGAAACAGGTGAATTCATCATCAAGACAAGAGCGCTGAATGTGCATGTTCCTCATAAGTAACCGAGTTTTAAAAAACGCACAAGAGAACTTCAAACTCAAGAGGAAAACGCTGACACAAACAAAGAAAGAGACAGACAAATCCACATTTACAGTTGGAGATTTCAACGCTCCTTTCTCAGTCCTGGGTGTTCTTTTACTTTTTTCCTACATTGAGCACAGACAAGGGAAGGGAAGCTGGGTATCCTAATTCAGATGTGTCCCACCCCACCGTGACTTGCAGTTTCATTTCCACATTTCCCACAGCCTTATCTGAAGCGGTTCCTGGAGGAACAGAAGGAACCTAAGACTTTTAGGTTTTGTTTCCTGATCCTGGGCAGTGTGTGGCTTGGTGTGTGGCCTCTGCGCTCTCTAGGTCCCTGTTTCCTCCTTTGTCAGAAACAGACAGTCATCTCTCTCCTGCTTAAAAGAAAGCTGGAGCCCCCGAAATCACGATGAGTGGGCCGAGACAGAGGCTGTTCACAGCCTTGCAGGGACACGAGCCGTGGTGTTGCCAGCGTTCTGCGAGGCTGAGTCTCAGCTCAGATGGGACGACATCTGCCCCGACCAGGGTGCTGCTCTCCGAACTTTCAGGAAGAGGCTAGTTACCCCAGGTGCAGCAGGTCACGCCCACGGGTTAGCACAACAGAACTGGGGGGCGGGGGCTGGCCAAGGGCTGAAGCTGTCCTTTTTTGAGCAAGGTCCTCTGTCCTCTAAATGAAAAAGGAGTGAATATTGGGACCAGGGGACAGACCTGGGTGGGGAACGTTATTGGCTCTTATCTTCAATAAAGGAGATTGGCTTCAGCAATGGGTAGAAAAAAGGGGGAAATGGCCACTTACCCCTCACTTTTCCATCCTTCAGTGACAGTGCGGTGAGTGCCTTCCAAACGCAGAAATGTCCCAATTCAGAGGTAGAATTTGAGCTTGGAAGACCATCAACAGGGCCTTTTCCTAGATTCTGATGAGCATTTAGGGAACCATGATGCTCCTGGTAGGGAGTGCAGACGGTACTTCTGATACCTTTGTGTTTGGAGTTCCAGCTCCATTCCACTGTGGTCCGGGAACATGTCCCATAGGACTTCAGTTCTCTTAAAGGTTGTGAGATTTGTTTTATGGCCCAGGATATGGCCTCTTTTGGTATATTTCCATGTGCACCTGCAAATATGTGTCTTCTGTAAATATCAGCTTCTACGAATAGCAGTCGATCCATTGGTCGAGGGTGTTAATGGAATTCTTCTAGATCCTGGCTCACTTTCTGTGTCATTGTTCCGTCTATTGTTGGGGATGGTGAAGTCTCTAACTATAACTGTGGATTTGTCTATTTCCCCTTTCAGTTGTCCGTTTCTGCTTCACATGTTTGGCATCTCTGTTCTTTGGGACAACATTTAGGATTGCTCTGTGTTCTTGGTGGAGTGACCTGTTTATCACTGTACAATGTTCCTCTCTGCATCTGGTAATTTTCTGTGTTCTAAAGTCTAATTTATTTGGTATTAATACAGCCATTCCTTCTTCCCTTTGCGTGAGTAATATTTGCACTATTTATCTTTTGCCTTGTTTAATCTTCAGCCTGTTTGTAGTGTAATACTTGAAAGGACTTTTCTGTAAAGAGCGCATGGTTGGGTCATGTGTTTTAATCTACTCTGCAACCTCTGCCTTTTAATTGGTGTTTAGACAGCAAACACTCTCTTCCCTAGTGTGTCCTGGATTGCAGCCTTACTGGGGTACACCTGTCCCCTGGGACCCCTGGGTGCTCCTTCCTATGTTCCCACCAGCTCAATCACTGTCCCTTGGGGACTGTCTGGGCCATTCCTCCCCAACCAGAGAGCAACAATCGAATGTTTCATTGCTCACAACGGACACCTTGCTACTCTTTTTTCTCATTTACTTCATCAGTGACCATCTCTTTTCTCAGCAAAGTCACAATGGTAGAGTTTTCCTGTTTGCTCCTTGCAAAAGGATACTGACAAGTGGACAAAACCAAAGTGAAGATTCCCTCTCAGTGCCTCTGCTGGGATCTGTGCACAACCCTTGAGCCACAGTGACCTTGGCAGCAGAGGAGCCCTCAGGTCTCGGCATTTGGCACTGGACGTCCCCTTCGAGTTCCCAGTGGTTTCCAGGCAGGGCTTGTGCGCCTCTCGCTCTAATATGTGCTCAGCTGTTGAAGGTTATTTTCCCCTTTACGTGTCTCTTTAGAGATCTGAGGGCATCAGGGACCTGGGACTCTGTCTGTGTGGGCACCGGGCAGAGGAGACTGTGGGGAAGAACTGGAATGACCCCGCAGTACGGGAGGAGAGCTGGAGTTGTGTGTGAGGGAGGAGACGCTGGGGATGGAGCAAGTGTGGGTGGAGAGAGGAGCCAGGCTAACCTGCCTCATTTTACCTGGACCAGAGAGCCGACTCCCCCAGATCTGCATGAGACAGAAGGGGTGTCTTTACCCCACCATTGTATCACCCGCTCTCAGCCCACGGAGACCTGCCTGCCTTTTATTTTGAGATTGAAATAAAAATTTTCAAACCTAATTTTTTTTCTTTCCCCTTGAGTTGAAAAGCATACCCCACCCTATGAGTGTGTCAGGAGTGAGATAACTCCTCTTTGGAAGTAGACTTTTCGCAGGTCTTGGTGGCTCCTAGGGACTCGAGTCTCTAGTTTAAGTTTCCTTGGATTGTAGAAGCCTCTGCATTCAGGCTGCTAAGGGGTTTGAGTGGGGACGCAAGGGGAGATGTCCCCTACTGGGACAGATGGGAGTTCTTCAGGGCCTTGTCTTATGGGCACCCGCCCCCCC